ACGTTACCTTGCAAAAGTTTGCATTCCCTTGCAAAATTGTTTTGCTTTCCCACGCCAAAGTTTGTTTTGTATATGAACCGAATTAAATCAGACTTTTATTTTGAAATATCTGGTTACCAAAACAGGATGTGTCGCCACAAGTTTGTGAAATTGACATTGATGTTGTGTGGCTGCACTGTTAAAATATCAGCAAATGACATACTTCTATGTGTGGCTGTGTGATATATTCATTCTGAAGCTGAACTAAATTAGTAGGCTAACTCGCTAATGGTGAACATGTGAAGGTGTTAATAAACGTGCAGGCACAACAGTGATAAACGACCTTTGCGAGGGAACGCAAAAGAAAAAAATTATCTCCCATGTCCCCTCGTGGGCTCCCTATTAATCATAGTCAAGTTTTAAAATGAAGTATTCAGCTGCTGAGAATATTTTAAAAATTATTTCAAGTAGAAAACAAAAACTGGAGACAGTAATCTTTTTATTTTTTATTTTTTTTATATTTTAGATTCAGTGCTTTAGAAAGGATGAAAAAAATTGTTGGACAGTCTTTGGATTTTGGGATGTGTCAGTTTTTTTACTATCTTGCATTTTGCTTAAAAATGATGAGAAAATGCTCAGAATTGAGGCTTAGTTGTTACAACTGAAAAAGAACAACGGCTAAAAGCTAAAAGGAGCTAAAAACAAAAACTTCTAAATGCTAGCTGAGSCAAAAGTCACGAAAGGCTAACACAAAACTAAAAGTAACAAACACTACCTAATAGCTAAAAGTAATTCAWGGCTAGCTTAAAGCTAAATGTGTCTAAAGTCTAGCTAAAAAAGTTAGCAAACAGTGGCTAAAAGCTAAAAGTAGCWGGAGGCTTGATCAAAGCTAAACGTATCAACAAACTAAAAGATGAAAATAGTAAATTAAATGCTAAATCTAGTGAAAAAGTTGCACTGCTATATAAGATAAAAGTTGTGCTAAGCCTAGCAAAACACTAGCTAAAAGCAGCAAAAGGTTAGTCAGAAGCTAAAATTGGCAAAAGACCAAAATGTTTGCTGAAATTCTCACATATCTAAGGCTCTCKAGCTCTTTTTTTATACACCGGAGGTGAATAGAAACTAAACTCTGTTGAAATGTCCCAGGTTTTAATCATGGTCACGTTTTAAACTGAACTATTCAGCTGCTGAGAATATTTTTGAAATGATTTCAAGTAGAAAACAAAAACTGGAGACTGTAATCTTTTTATTTTTTTATGTTTTTATTTTAGATGCAGTGCTTTAGAAAGAATAAAAACAGTTGGTTTCTGTGTATTTACATTATTGAGAGTGAAGGAGGCTTGAAATTAAATTAAATAGTTGTTTGGGAAGAACCTGATAGTTTTTTTTTATATACACTGCTCAAAAAAAATAAAAGGGAACACTTAAACAACGCACGCTAAGTCCAAGTA